ACTGGCCAACGCCTGAAAGCCTACTATTCTGCTGGTGGCATTCTCTGGGTATTCTGTGGGGCGGGCATCCTCTTTTTACCTAGAAACATGAGTGCTTTCATGTACGTCATATCAGTACTTATTGGGATAGCAAATGCTCTAATGACGGTATGATATATGATTTTGCACTTTAGACTATACTTCATGTCATGGAATTATGTTGTTTAGTCTCCAATCTTAGTTAAGTCCTAGTGGCATTCTGCTTCCCCATGAGTGTAAATGTGTTTCTTGTATTCAAAAGGAAATAACACGAAAGAAAATTTACATATGCGCTTGATTTGTATGATGGACTCTCTCAGTCCCGTGACAAAGATTGGCCAAATTCACATACAAAGCTTCCACTTTTAAGTGTCATTGACAGTTGGTAGTCTTGATCTTAGTTTATTAAACATGGTCTTAGCTTCTTAGACACCACAATAGAAATGAAAATTGTAGATTGTTGGTGGAAAGAAAAGGAAGTGTTATTACATGGAACACCAGTACAATTAAAAGAAATATATGGACCTTGAGATTGTCATCTTGGGATTCCAAGGCTGGTTTCACCTGCCATCATGATATCCTGATATCCTATTTTTAAAATCTTGTATTTTAATTTCTATTTATTATTGTTATGAATTTGTTACTGCGTTAAAATTTTGTGAATGACTTAAATTTGCTGCTCTTGTTGTTGTTGGGTTTTTTTCTTTTTGTTTCTTTACCCACGTATGAATAACAGGTAACTGGAGTAAGCATGCAAAGTATTCTAGTTGGTTCAGATCTAAATGGCTGTGCGTTTGTTTATGGATCTTTGAGCTTCCTAGACAAGATTTCATGTGGCCTTGCTGTCTTTGCCCTTCAGTCTTTTCAGAGTAAGTCTTCTCCTATTGCAAGGCCTTTCTGATCTTTCTCTGCACAAAAAGGAGAGAAAAAAATAAAGCTGGTTGCGGTATTTGCATGGAAATGTGGTTAGTAGACTATATTTCTATTTAAGAGTAACTTTATTCCAAAGATGGAAGATTGCAGATATACCTTTTCAACATTTTGTTTCTATATACTGCATCTGAATATGAAACCTCAACGGTGGTTTAGGGTTGAGTGTGTTTTACAATGCCCTGGAATAACCATTACAAGTAGATGATTCATACCATTACCATGAGTTAATTTGGAAGATATAAAACCACAAATTTAAAGTGAGGATGACACAATCCCTTTTCATAATCATTCAGCCCTCACAGTTTGCTTGCAAAGCCCTTCAGTTGGTTCATGGCCTGAATCTTCTTAACACCATCCACACACTTTTACGCAGGCTCCTCACCGAAAACAGAGGAAGCCCTTTCTACAGATAATATTTCAGTCACAAGATATGGCTTGGGTCTGCTTCCAGCTGTTTGTTCACTTGCTGGGGTGGCTATTACATACACTATGAAACTCCAGACACAGGATTCAAAATCCTTGATGGAACCGCTGCTGGAATGATTTACCAAAGCTCCCAATTTGTACAGAAAGCCCTGACTCGCTCACCTCATTGCTGCCATTTGACTACCAATCTGAATGCTAGAGTGCTGAAGGCCAAGTGATTCCAAGCAGCCAGAAGATTGTCTGAATGCAGATATACTTGTACGTACCAAGTTGGGGGATCTTTTGTTTTTTTCCTTAATCCCTTTTGGGATGTAATCATTGATATTTCATTTATGCTCACAAGATGTTTTTTAATAGAATTTACATATTATAATTCTTACATTGTTTCGCACAATGTTGTGAAACAGTTGTATTAAATCTCACGAAATTAAAGTCCAATTCAATTTAGGGCAGTCACCTTGTGTCTCTGTGTGTTACGAAACCTTGAGCCAAGTTATTGTCATGTTGAGAGGCAGTAAACCGCGTGCATGGATTTTGCCAAAATAACCTCGTGTACAGCAATTGTGTTGGGAGTGCGGTTAAATTATGTTTTTAAAAGTTTTTATTTTTTTAAATTAAATTTTTGGTTGCTTTTAAAATATTTTGATGAAATGAATCAAAATTTTATTTTTAAAAATAATATATATTATTTAATATATTTTGAAACAAAAAATACTTTAAAAAGTAATTTTACAGCAAAATATAGCCATGCACCCTAAAAGAAAATTCAATTATTTGTTTATCAATAAAAAAAATAAACTAAATAAAAAAATAGGAAAATTGCTAAATCTTAATGCAATATAAAAAATAAAATCCTAATTTATTTTTATTTTATAAAATTTATTATTGCTAATAAGCTTTTGGCCTGGTGATTGCGAGTTGTTTGTATTTGCAAAAACGATTAAAGCATAGTTTTTAAACCCGGCCCGGTGGCTGGCCCGGTCCAAGGCCCGGGTTCCGGGTTTTGACCGGGTTGAACGGGTCGGCTGGGTCAATTTCTATTTTTAAAAAAATTCAAAACGACGTCGTTTTAATAAAAAATAAATAA